TCTATAATCCCTCTCTGAAAACACAGGAATAAACATGGCCTTTGTGGGTTTGACTTGGCCCTGTGAAAATTTCCCTCATTAGAGGGGGACGAGATGAGAGGATTGTGACAAACAATGTCCTTTATTCAAGTGTTTTGACTAAATACACATTGATGTAAAATCAGAGCAAACTCAGTTGCTTAGCTGGTGTGTTTTTTAGGACCAAAAAACTCATGGATGGAGCTCTAACAGCTCCCTGTGGTTCTCCTCTCCACCTCTGTGCTTCCTGAGGATGGAGAAAAAAGAGAATATGCAGGGCCAGGGCATATTTCCAAGGGGGATGTGAAAGAATGCAGGGAAAAAAATCAAATGCACAAAGGAGTTCTTGGCACATGGTAAAATTCAGGGGCCATTGGTACAGGTGAACTTCTGGCTCCAATTCTTCTTCTAATGGCACTGCAAATATTTTCAACTTACAGTTATTTTTTTTAAAGCATTAAGGAACTACTTTAAAACAGGTCTGTGAATGGCAAACAAGAAAAATGTATCTTTTGTTAGAAAGCTGCAATTGGGAAATGAAGACCTTAATCTTTTAGCAACTTTATTGGGAGGGGAAATGAGAAGGGGTGAATGGCCTGCAAGACAAATAAAAAAAAAAAAAAATCAGATTTAGAACCAGTGAATAAGTGGGACAGCAGCTATACTAAAATATATTTAAGTGATGGTTATCAATTAAAAAAAAAAAAAAAGGAAGAGAACACTTTTTGATGGCTACTTCTTTTTAAATTCTACAAATTACCTTTTGTGTCTTACCTTTTGGCTAGCTCAAAAGAAATTCTGTGTGTGCCTTCATGGTCTAAATCTAAAATTTCCAGTATTTCAAAGACTACACCAGGCAGATATAAACCATTGTTATATTAGTACTGCACAGTCATTGTTGTCAGCAGGTTTTATGATTTTCTGTCCTGCTGCTTCCAAAAGCCACTGCTGGGGGTGAGAAACAGCACTGAGCTACGTGGAGAGAGGAATATTCAGCAGCTGAATCCTCCCTAAAGATTATTGTGTCCTGTGTTCACCTGGGAGGGAATAATTCCCAGTAGCACCAAAAGGCACCTTGGAATGCAGTTTTCCAAAATATTCAGGCAGGTGGACCCTTATCAAAGGAAATGGGGACTCTTGGATGTTGCACCTACAGTAGCTGCTGTCTTTCTTTGGCTTTTGTGTTTTGGATCCATCTCACCCAGGGCTTTGGCTGAAGCCAACAATTTCTGCTAGCATTCCCAAAGAGCCATAACCAGGATTACTCACAAGCCTGGATTAGCATCTAATTAAGCCTCAAAAGCCAGCAAATCTAACTGGCTCAGAAGATTGCTCATATCCTGTTACCAACCTGTCTTCACTTCTCTCAACAGCAGCAAGGACTTCAGCAGCCAGAACTGAACAATTTATCAATCAGAGAGTCAAGTTTGACAGGAACTAATGTCTTGGTAAAAAGTGCAGCCTTTTCTGAAAAGGATTAATCTGTTACACTTTTGCAATTTTTAATGAAGCTAAAGGAATCCTGTTTATTTCTCTTTCTGTAATTCCCTTTAATTGCACCTCCATAGGTCACTGTACCAACATCCTTCATTACACTGCTCCTATTGCAATTTATATTTGTATCTGAGGTGATGATATGACAACCAAGAACAGCCCAGTTGTTGGAAACCCCTGTGGAAATCAAAGCAACTTCCAGCAGCACAACCATTTTTTAATATTGGAAAATTTAAGGACCTGTCTTTCTCTCCCTGGAACTGCAGTGCTACGCAACTCTCAGAAGCTTTTTAATATTTAAAAGGAAAAGCTTGGTAGACAAATGGCTCATCCTTCAGTAAGACAAAGCCAGCCAATACACAGCAGGAAACTGGTTCAACTCATAGGTTGATTTTCACTGATGAATTTTACAGCTGTTGAGCACAGGAGATAGCAAAACCCCTTGACACATTGCATTTAGGTTGATTCAACATGCACATCCTAAAACACAATCCTTCACCTTAAAAACAGAACAATCCCCTCCACGTAACTTTTACAGCACCTGAACAAAAGCCTTATTAAAATGCTTCATCTGTTTCCCTCAGCATTTAAATTGCACCAAAAACCCCATGACAATATTTCTAAAAGTTGCGAAGGCAGCGGGATAGAATTAACTTATTCCCAGGGCTGGGTTCAGGTTTAACCACTGGAACTCAAACCACACCCCCTCAAATAAATCCCTGGCATGGCACCGATGGTTTCAAATTACCTTCGAGGCTGCAGCCAGGGCAATGCAGCTTTCTGACACTTTCCTGGGACGTGGTGTTACATTCCCATCAGGGGAGAGCTGGGTCAGCAAGAAATATTGATATTTCTTACAAGGGATGGTTTGGAGTGCTGTGATTTGGAGCATCCTGTCTCTCATAATAAATAAAGGATATTTTTTCTGTATCATCTTTATTCAATGCTCTGTTTTTTTTGTTTATTTTTTTTTTTTTCCAGTCCTCTTCCATTTTTCCTTTTCCTTAAGGTGTGGTGTATTCTTACACTTGAAGTTGGTTAACAGGAGCATAATATATCTCACAACACATATATTTTAAAAAATATATCAGGGAAAGAGATCACTATGAGTTACCAAGTGACTACACTTGGTTGTAGTGTAGTCTATCACTGTGTTTCATCTTCCATACAAAACTGCTCGAGAGCATAATTTTTCTTAATGTGTTGTAGGCTAAAAATGAACCCTCAAGGGCTTCCATTGCTCTCCTTGTTGCCAGAGCAACAAAGCAATGCTCACCTGAATTTCTGCCACTGTAAGTATCAATTTACAAGCCCAGATGAAGTTTGTGTTGCTCGCAGGTGTCACTCACAGCATTTTCACTACAAGCCACATTTCTAGTGGGAAGGAATGCCAGGAAAACTCAAGAATATCAGTATTTCTACTTGGTTATTGCTCCTCTTAATTGAACTGTTTCCCTTAAAATATCTTGACCAAGGACATTCAAAGGGAAAGGGTAATACTTAAATCTGCTATATGAAACCCAGTGCACTACGAAGACTTTGTTCACCAACTCAGAAGAAAACTCTTTAAAAATCCTACTCAGAATCTTTCCCACGAAATTCCTTCCTAAAATTCTTTGTGGCAAGGAGATAGGAGGTTCTGAGGTGAGGGGAGCAGTGATGAAACTTTTTAACAGCATACAAGTTGTTTTCACTTTCTGAATTGAAAAAGGGTTTATTGTTTAACACTATCCATCCAAAATCCATACAGTGTTTCTGTTTGAAACAAGTGACAGAAGCATAACTTCTATTGCCATACTGTAGGAAAAGGAGGAATACAACTCTGAAGTTATTTGTTAAGTGTAAAACCAAAGCCAGGAGGACGACGTGGAACTCTTAATTAAAAGATATTAATAAAGAGACATGGAAAATGGAACACTGAGAAAACAGTTAAGCTCTATGGCTTATTTAATGGAATTCTCAATTTTTCTCCTCTTAGAAACAAAGAGGCAAAGGAGAAAGGAGACAAGCTCAAAAGTCCTTCCTGTTTCCAACTTCAAATTCCACGAGAAATCATTTTCAGATGTTGGATCACAGCATCAATTATTTTACTCTACCGAGCCAAGCAATCTGAAAGTGCAAGAATTGAAAAGAAAACCACAGGCACTTCCAGTCATGACGTGAAAGACATAAGTTAGTTAAATAAAAAGCCCCCACAGTGTTTTATTTTCACACACGACGTGCACCTCTGTAAATGCACCACTCCTGAAAAAAAAAATAAATCTTTCCTTATTCCATGCAGAGTCAGATGCAAAGGCAGTGTGAATCACAGAGCTATACGAAGGGATCTTGGGTAGAAAATTGTCTAGGCAAGGGATTGAGAAATTCAGAGCTAAGCTTTTTTTTTTTATTTCCTCATTTCCCATACAAGATATACAAACTGCTCTGCTATCAAAATGAAAACAAATATTTTTTTTCTTTTTTAAAATGTATTAAAAAATGCTCAGCCTTGCACTGTTTCTCTTCCCAATCCAAACACTCAGGCCAGTGTGACAGAGAAGCCTGCAACTAGAGAAAAGAAAAATTATCCTATCTGCAAAGAAAACACCTCGTTCTGACCTCAGCATGATGATCTGCACTTGCAGAATGGAAGCCTGGTCAAATACATCCTCCCCTGCTCTCTCCCACTATTGTTTCCAGTCCCACCACGTGTTTGTTTTCAGCCAGGCAGGACGCACACACTTTTCATTTGATTGATGCCAAATTGAACACCTCAAGCTGAAAAACAAGCCAGCATAAAGACTTTCACTTCACAGCCTGTCCATAAAGACAGGTACTTCTCCTTTGAATTTCTAGGTTGCTGAGCTCAGCCAAATTTAAAAAAGTTGTTATATTTATTTTGTTTTCTTTCTGTTACATGCTCTCTAGAAATACAGCAGAACACAGACCTTGCTGTCTTGTCTGTCCATACATATGCAGATCAGCCTTTTCTAAATATCAAACTCGGAAAAAAACCCAACAAAACCCCACACGAGATGGGGGGAAACTGAAAGGTTTCTCTTTTTTCTTTTTTTTTTTTTTTTTTTTTTTTTGCACCAAAGCAGAAAGTCATGAAGTATTGATTTTTATAAAATCCCAAAAAATTCAAAGCCAAGTAGTTCCATTTGGTTGTATGGAGCATCTTTTGTGCTTCAAGACCAGTTCTAATCCACACACTCACCAGTGGTGAGCATCCTTGTAAATTAAGAGAGGTAGTCTTGTTTTACTCTAAGGCTGAACAAGTTTGTTTCCCAGTTTTCACCACCTTGGACTATTCTTTACAGCTCTCAGGGAGGGTGACCCTCTCAAGTGGCAGCAGTGATCCTGAGGGAAAGAAACCACAAACCAGCATTTCTTCTTGGTCTCCCTTGCTTTTTCTCTGCTGCTTAAGTCTGACTTTTCTCCCTCCCCCACACCATAACCACAGTTTCAAAATAAATTGATGTAAACAGAAAACAGTATTCATTTAATGCAATTAATAAGAAAGATTATTATTTTTTTTCTCTTTTTCTACAGTCAGGGCTCGATTAGTTAGAAAATACTGACAGCTCCTCTTTGTTTTGTGAAAGAGAGATGGGCAATTTTGTTCAGACAGTGGAAGAACATCATGGTGTGGTTTTTTTATCTTTTTTTTTTAAACTTTTTTCCTTTTTTTTTTTTTTTTAAAGAAGGTACTGTAGAGAGCATAAAGGCTCATTGTACTGCAGTAGCAAATCCAGTACCGTAGCACTTCAGAGGTGGTTAACAGTGCTTTGGTTCAGAACCGGTGTTAGAAAATAAAGCTATAAAAGTCACGATGTGGAGTATTTGGTGGGATTTTCAACAGCATTTTGTAGGAACGTAGAAGGGACTGAGGAGGCATCGGCTTCTTCCCCTTGGCAGAGCTCTTTGTCCTTGGTCCCATTTTTAAGTCTGTTTTTGGGGTCCAGCCTCTCATTTCCACCGGTGGCGCACGAGGGAGGACTCGTCGTTGACCACGTCGTTGTCTGTGTAGCGGTGCTGGCAGCGGGGCGGGATGAGCAGCAGCACGATCAGGACCAGCAGGATGATCCCACACAGGCTCATCAGGGCGTAGGAGGCGATCCAGAGCACGGGCTCGTGGAAGGAAACGCTGGCGACGCAGTTGCTGGCCACGTCTGCTGTGGTGAAAGGGCCCTCGAGCTCCGAGACGGGCGAGCCGTCAACTTCTGGGAGTTACAGAAACAAAGGCATCAGGACTGCAGACACCAGTTAAAAAGTAATTGTACATCCCTCTCTCTCTGCCACCACACATCTCAGCACATTCGTGTTATGCCACAGTTCTCACTGCAATAAAAACCTGTCCTAGGTTTGAAATGGGTGTGTGTGTTCTACTCCTATCTGTGGGGCAGTTCTCTGCTGTTCACTGGGCAGTTTTTTCTTTATCTCTTCCACAGACAATCCTCCCTCCAGGAGATCTCTTCTGTTCATGGGCCATTAATTATTAATTATCTTCTGTCCATGGCCAGTGAGTGTCCCTGCATGGCTGAGAAAATTCCATCATCCCATGGGGAGATGCTCTGCCCAGGGGAGGAGCCAAATATTCCTACCTGGATACAATCTGACCTAGGAACAGCACAGCAGCCTTTGGCCCCTGCATTCCAAGGGGAGCAGCTTTCTTCCCACTGCATTCCCAGAGGAGCAGCTTTCTCCCCACTGCATTCCCAGAGGAGCAGCTTTCTCCCCCCTGCATTCCCAGAGGAGCAGCTTTCTTCCCCCTGCATTCCCAGAGGAGCCCAGGCCCATCTCCCCCAGCCCTGGAGCTCCAGAGGAAAACTCCCCCCTTGTGCAGGATCCTGCTCCAGCAGAAGCACAGCTGGCACTGCAGGAGGGCTGAGCCACCCTGGGATGGGGCTGAGCCACCTCCCTGACACACAGGGGGACAGGGCATGTTCTGACTCTGGCAATGGTTTTTTTTTTGTTTATTTGTTTGCACTATTGCATTTGTATTTTTAATTTTCCTAGTACATAACTGTTATTCCTGTTCCCATATCTTTGCCTGAGAGCCGTTTAATTTCAAAATGATAATAATTCAGAGGGAGGAGGTTTACATTTTCTATTTCAGGGGAGGCTGCTGCCTTCCTTAGCAGATACCTGATTTTCAAACCAAGACAAAAAAGCAAGAATCCCATCCCTTTTATAAAAAGGGATTCTGAAGCACAAGGAGACTGTGACTCTCCCATGTCTCCACAGGCTGTCTAGGAGAGGACAGGCATTTCAATCCATCAAATCCCATACCACTGGAACACTTCTTTGCCTCTGCACTAATCTCTCATAAATATAATTTTAAATATCCTACAACATCCACCCTGTTGTAGGGCAGGGTGTGGGCATTTTTTTGCTTGTTTCTGGATTTCCAACAACTGGAAAAGCATCTTTGATCGTCTGTGTTTTCTGTCTTCCCAGGGAGCAGCAGGAAGGTTCATCAGCCTCACAGATACCTGAAAGGACTTTATCCTAAACACAAGGTGCAGTGTGGAAAGCAGCACAGACCTTCTTGTGGATGAAAATCCAGAAGGAAGGGGTGGTGAGGCAGGAGAGCTGGGTGACAGCTGTCCACAAAAGGGGAGTGGAGGAGAGGAGGGTCAGTGTCAGGAGCGAGGCACAGGGACATGAAAGAACAACAGTGCTGGGCCAGGAGAACTAACCCAGCAACTCAAAAATGATGACAAAGTCAAGACAAGAAGCAGTCATAATTCACTTCCCTAGTCAGCCACTTCCATGACACATTTGAATATTTTTTCATGAAGGTTTCAGTTTTAACTGTCCTGCCTATTTCTCACACATTTTACATACAGGAACACTCTTGCCTGATTGGAAGTGATCCTATCTACTAAAAACTGTATCTCTTATTTTCACATATCTTAGTCACAACTGCTGAAACCACATTTAAAGAGATTATCATAAACTACCCCCTTGGAAGGAAGAAGGGAGCCTGGATTTTGCAAAGGTGCCATTTAAGGTTCTTCAGGTTTTTAAAGAAATGCAGAATAGATTGGTTGCTTTATCTGCATAGATTTTGGTCATCATTCAGTCCCTGGCCTCATAAGACCTTGTCTTATTTTAAGATTTAGGTTTTGTTAGATTTAATTCCATTTAATGGTGGGCTGGTGTTGAAAGGGACAATCCTGCACCCTCACTCCTGTCCCTCACAGCCCCTCTCGTGTTGGTGGAGGGAATGGGAGGCTGCAACTCTCAGATCAGATGGGAGACCAACCTTCACAACAAACAAAATGCCCAAACAAGGAATTTTCTGTGGAATCACTCATCTGAAGCAAGCCTTTCTCCACCCCTAAGTGTGGGAAGACTCCTTGAGCAGGAATATGCTGTGAGAGCAAACTGGGGGCACCCGAGGCTGCACCCACGAGGACCCTGGCACTAGTGAATAACCAAACACCCACTCCCCAAACTCATCAGATGGTAAAATTCTGCCTAGAAGGTCTGTGGAAGAAATCCCTTTTGTCCAGAGCCCCAGGACTGCACTTTGCAATTATTTCTTATGCAATTATTTCTTCTGGACATCTCACCCCCTCACCCTTTGGTTTATCTCTATGAAGTTCTGCAGCAACACCAAACTCAGCCACATGTGACACCAATTTGAAATGCAAGGCCTAAATATCATTACTTATTTGTATTTTGAAGAAGTGGGGGGAAAAGAAAAAGCAGGACAATTTTCCACCTTGGAAATAACTTTGAAAATAAACAGTCTCTAATTATTCATTGTTTGGCTCCAGCACAATAATTACTCCTATTAAAGAAGACAACACAAAACTGTTGCCATAGTGGCTGACATTTTAAATTGCATTTTGAAAATGCTTGATAACAGCACAGCCTCTGCTTTCTTCCCTCCAAAAGGGAAAAAAAAAGTTTTCCCTCACACTCTTCCACCCCCAGAGAAATTGAGAGGAAATTTGTCTAAATTGTTCAAAGAAGCCCTTAACATAAACTGTCACACACACCAGTATATTACACATTAACTGAATTAGAGGATTTTGATGTATTATTTTAGAATATCTGGTGGTACCTAACTACAGTACTTGTGTAACCTTGCATAAATGAGATTTTCTTCATTTTTGATGATTACAGGACCAAAAAGGTGCCTCTGGAAAAATGCTATTTTCTAACATTTGTGTAGAACTCAACACATGCTAGCTCACCCACTTGGGTGGTTACAAAGGCAGTAAATCTGGAATTAGATAAAATTAATCATAGAATTGTAAGGTACAGCTTGAAGGAGGCCCCGGGAAGTCACCTAGACCAGGTTCCTGCTCAGAGCAGGACTGTCAGCATCAATAGATCAGTTCTGTGGCAGATTTATCCAGCCAGGCCTTGTAAAACCCAGAGGATGGGGACC